AAAAGGAACCAATTTTCAGATCTCTTTTAAAGCCAAAAAGTTTCTTTCATTGAAAGGGAATGAATTTTCAGACTTCTTTAGAGCTGAAAATTTGTTTCCTTTCATTGAAAAGAAACGAATTTTCAGATCTCTTTTAGAACTGAAAAGTTCCTTTCATTGAAAAGGAACGAATTTTTGGATCTCTTTTAGAACCGAAAAGTTCCTTTCATTGAAAAGGAACTAATTTTCAGATCTCTTTTAGAACCGAAAAATTCCTTTCATTGAAAAGGAACTAATTTTCGGATCTCTTTTAGAGCCGAAAAGTTCCTTTCATTGAAAAGGAACTAATTTTCAGATCTTTTTTAGAGCTGAAAAGTTCCTTTCATTGAAAAGAAACTAATTTTCAGATCTCTTTTAGAGCTGAAAAGTTCCTTTCATTGAAAAGGAACTAATTTTCGGATCTCTTTTAGAGCTGAAAAGTTCTTTTCATTGAAAAGGAATGAATTTTCAGAACTCTTTTAGAGCTGAAAAGATTCCTTTCAATGAAAAGGAATGACTTTTCAGAACTCTTTTAAAGCCAAAAAGGTTCCTTTCATTAAAAGAAACATTTTCAGATCTCATTTAGAACTGAAAATTCATTTTTTCAATAAAGCTTTCAGATTCAGATTGGATCAGATTTGGATTCAAACTGATCCGTCAGATCCAGATTTGAGATTTAATCTGTCAGATTCAGATCAGATTTAGATTTTAACGGATCTGTCGAATTCAGATCGAATTCAGATCCTGAAAAATGAAAATCGGATCAGATCGGATTTGGATGAAATCTGATCTGATTCGATTTTGCAGAATACTAGAAATAAGAATAGTTAATCAAACGCTTAATGTTTTAACTATTTTAAATTAGTAGTATTATCTCAAATTATACAATATAATTGATAGAATTGATCCTAAAGGTTTCTAATCAGTTGAGCTTGAGATTATTAAAATCTTTTCCTTGTCATCTCCTATAAGGGATATATATTTTCAATTATAAGATTTCTTATTTTTTTAAAAATAAAAAGGTACTTTTAATCATTACATCTTTTTTATAATAATTTTTTATGTTAAATTATTAAATAATAAACTATATTTTTTTAATCTATGTTAATACTAATTTCTAAAATCAATCTGTAATTTGTAAAAAAATATATAGTTCATCAAAAATTATATGATCAATAGAATTATATTAAAGAGAGATAGAGAAATATGACCATTAATATTTTATTTTATAATTTTTTAATATGCCAATTTTTATCTAAATCGCTGTGTTGATCTTTTAAACATAAATACTAAAGATAAAAATATTTGGATGTAGGATTATTTAATCTAAGACATATTATTAAGAACTTTTAATTTGAACTGAAATATAACTTAAAGTTTTATAAAATTTTAGCTACTTCTAATCCATATTCTTTTAACGAATATAAGTTATCAAGAAATAATTTTAATATAAATTCAAGTGTATTATAATTTTTTATTTCTAAATATAATATTATAGTATAGTAATAATCTGCATAATAATAATACTTCTTATGATTTAAAATCATAAATATTACTATAATATGTTTAATCTTACATCATATATTATATTCATTATTTAAGATATGTAAATGAATAGTAAGACCTGATGATTTTAATATCTTCTTTTTTTCAAATAAGGAATAATGTAATTGAGAATATCTTTTATACTTTAGTAAATACTTATACCCATTATGTTAATAGTCTCTTAAGTAATTTTTGAATTTGTAAATTCTGATTCATCTAATTTCAAAGTTTTTTTTAATTTATTTTTTTCATTTATATTAATTAATAATATTTTAATTAATTAATTCATATGATTCAATTATTGTAATACATTTAGAATTTTCACATGATAAATAAATCTTCACAGCTATTAATTCTTGATAAGAATTTCTAGATATTTGATCTTAATTAACTGCTTTTATTATAGAGTAAAGTTAGTTAGTTTTATTAATTTTATTTCAAGCCTATAATTTACTTGAAAATAATTTGCTTCATTAACAGAAAATTCAACATTTTTTAATATAATTTAATTAGATTGGTGATAAATTCCTTAATATTATTTCTAAAATTAGATTGTATTTTTATCACAATTTTTCTTAGCATATTTTTCAAGTATTGATAAATAAAGTTAATAGTTAGCTTAATTAAATTTTCACTTTTTTAATTTACATACTTTTTGTATACTATCTAATTGTAATCCAAATAATAGAGAATCTGAAATTTAGTTTTAGTTTTTAGTTTTAATAACTAATGAAGTAAATAATTTAATTAGATGAAAATTTATATAAAATTTATATAATAATAAATTAGTTTAATTAATAAAATATTTGCCTATTCATATTTTATTGCTGCATCAGTTGTAGATTTAGTTAAAGATCTAACATTAAAAATTAGAGCCATACTTGATTCAAAATTAAGGTATTATATTTGTATAATCAATTTTATAATAGACAGTTCGTTTTTTAGCAGCTTGACCTCAGATTATTTTTACAATATAATCATGTGAAATTATATATATTTTTTTTTAAAATTATTATTTTCATTATTCGTTTTTAATCCAATTTTATTAAGATAGACTTCTTCTTTTATAATATTGTAATTGAAACTACATTTAGTAATATTATTTACACATTCATAATAAAGAATTTATGATCAAGTAGATATATGATACATTTCACAATTTGAAGTTTGTTTTTATTATTTTCTTGATCATTAAGATTTTCTGTATCTGATAGCATTATTTTTAAAAAAAGGTAATTTAATTTTCATATGACTAAACTAATATATCATATTTATATTATATAAATTCTATTTAAAAAATTTTATTACACAATACAAGTAATATAAGATTTTTCTATATATGCAAATTTATTTATTTTTGTCATATTTAATATATCTATTATGTTTAATATCAAATCTCAAAATAGAAATTTATTAAATAATGAAATTAGCTATAAAGGCGTAAGTAATTTTTATTAATTTTTCATTATTTAAAGTCAACTCTTATTATAATGAACTTTATGTTCTAGATCTCATCTTCACTATAAGACTATATTGAAGATTTTAAGATATTTGATTGACCAATTCACTATAATAAGAGTATTTTTATTATATTTGTTCAAAAATTCATTATATCAAGAGTTTGCTATATCAATAGTTGACTATAATAATATTATTTTATATGAATAATCCTTTAAATACTAAAAATTTATTTTTAAAATATTATTTTCATATATAGTATATTGTACATGTTAATGATCATCATATTAACCAATATAGATAATACAGTCTTTCATTTTACAGATCAGCAGATATACTATTAATAATAATAATACTACTAACAAGATTAATATAAATACTAATAATATTAAATATACTAACTATAAAATAATGATAAAAATAACAATGATAACAACTATATTATTATTGATAGATTTATCATTATTGATAGATTTATCAGTTTTGATAGTTTTATTAGATTTGTTTAATTTGTTAAGTTTGTTCAGTCTGTAGATTTCTATTAGTTTAATTTTTTCTCTTAAATTTTGGTTTCCAGATCAAATTACCATTACTTTATTTAACATTTGTTAATTAATTTAATGAGAGCTTTTCTGAGACATTCCAATAAGGTAATTTATCAAATATTGTTAAGGTCAAACTCCCATGGTTTTGATTTAAGGATTGGATATAGATATATCAAATTTTATTTGATGTAATACCATTCATTAGCAGAAGAAAGTGACATCAAATTATTGTAAATAGTTAAATCAATTGTAGAGACAGGTTAATAAGATGAAGCCCAATCATCAGTAATCATTTTGAGTTTGTGGGTAGTACCAGCTGCTCGTTGGAAATGTTGATTGACTTCTCTTTTAACATTAGACTCATCTGTTAAGAGCTCTCTTGAAGTTGAATTATTAACCAAACGTCTGTTTATAATTATAGTTTTCCTAAAACGATTCAAGGCTGAATAGATCATTTTGAACTTGTTGTTAGCATAAATCATCTAATCTCTTGCTGAGTGCTTGTTGAATTGATTGTAATTTGTATTCCTTTTTGTGAAGTTTGGTTTATATAAGATATCATTATGTAGAAGATCAGTGTCAGCTAATAAGAGATCAATGAAGGCAAAAGTATAATCAGATGTAGAATGCGCTGAAATAAAAGACAAATGATTGGCAATTTTAATAAATCTAGCATAGTTCTGAGGCCAGTTCTGAAGAAAAGTATTAAACAATTTGATTTTAATAAATAATTGTCTAAATTTATGTAATTGTTTTTGGTTCGCGTAGAGGTTGAAAAGTAATAAGAAGCGGTTATAATATAAAAATAATATAAACAAAGAATAATAATATGGTACCTTTAAATAAAATAGTACCTAGGGCTGTACGACAAGGACATTACAGCCCAAAAAAATAAAAAAAATAAAAGAATTACAAACACTCACTGTGAATTGTTAAAAAAAAAACAAAAACAATATAGTTTATTCTCGCTGCAATTGTATTAATTATAAATAGAACTTGCAAGGCCATTGTCACCAGTAGTCACGATTAATTTCTGACCAGAAACTTTAATGCCGGTCATTTCGTGACATTTCGTGAAGATTACACTGAAGTAATCTTAAAATTATACTGCATCATAAATATCATTCGATTAGAATTGATTAATCGAAATCGAAAACTCGTAATCAATTCTAAAATCGATTTGACTTTTTTTTGAATCGATTTCAATCCATAATTTATTGTGCCGTTTAAATTTCCATAATTTGGTCTAAGGAAAGTTTTTACAAGTTATATGAAACTTTATTAATAATATAATTCAGCTATCATCATATTTAGTGATTATTTACTTTAACTGCATATACTTTTTTTTTTTTTTTTTTATGAAATATTAGACGTGTTGTAATATTTATGTGTAGTTTAACTGACATTTATGAACATATTAAAATAATAAATCTTTTAATAATCCATTTCCATTGGTAAAGTATCTATATCGGGATAACCATCAAAAGAAAATACAGAACCCATCTCTCCTTGATGATCTTCATCCAATTCAACACCAAATGTTAAGCCTTCTCCATCAACGTCTACTGTATCATCTTGGTGTGCTTCTAAACTAGAAGCTTCTGTATTTGCATCTTGAGTATTGTTGACTGTTTGTGGCGTAGCAAGTTCTTCAGTATATTGGGAAATAATTTCCAGTTCTTCTGGCTCTATTAAGTTTTTAAAGTTAATTACATTGTTACCATGAACTTTAAATAAAAAAAATTTATTTACCTATAGGAATACGCGTATCTAATGCTTTATAAACACGTAATGGATTAATTTTACGTTCTCTTTTATATTTATTTTTAACTTGATCACGAGATTTTCTATTATTAAATATTTTTCTCGATATAATCTCAAAATCAGTTCCCCAACGTGACAATGCCTAAATACTTGATTATTAAGTAATCAGTATTAATAACAGATAACAACTTTTGATTGACTTTACATTACCTTAAAAAATAATTCTGTATCTTCAATTGTCCATCTTTCATTTTTTCTTGGTTTTTTAGAGTAAGTAAATGAATTTACAATATGAGAGAATTTATCTTCCTCTATAACTTCCATTCCTTCGTCATTTTCGTAAATGTGTGGACGCGAATCTTGTTCTTGACGAACTGTATATTGTCCATCTGCATTTACGAATCTACTACCACGCGTTGTAAACACGCGGCTTTTATTTTTTTTTAAAAAAAAAAAATAATAATTTAAATTCGAAAAAAAAAATTACAAAAATTTATTAATAATATTAACAATATTAATTACCGTTTCATAAGAGTTGGCTTGTCGTTTTGATTAGAATTTTCATCTTGTATCTGTTCGTCAATGTTTTCTTGCTGATATTCCTCATTTTCGTCGTAATTCTCATATTGAATCCAATTTCCATCTTCATCTTGCTCCCATTCTCCATTTTCGTCGTAAAACTCATCATCATCATAATTTTCATTTTCATTATTATTAATGTCTTCATTTTGTTGTTCAATTTCACCTTCACCTTGATGATCGTCTCTTAAAAAAATTTGATCTTGTTCTGAAATATTAACATCGACTAACTCATTATTTTCACCTTCCAAATGTTGAGAAGTCAACGTTTCATTTCCTTCTATATTCAATTGATCATCCTCACTAGTGTTATTAGCAGCTGCACGTTGTCTACGCTTTTGTTGCGATTTTTGATATTTAGCATATTCTAATTCTTTATAAGTATTAGATTTACGACCTCTTTTTAAATCTTTACATAATTCAGCCATTGTAACTGTTGAATCATCAAGTGGATTCTCATCTTCGGGACAATCTTCCCAAGGTTTCGCCCGACTTTTATTGGTTTGTTGTTTACGAGTAGTGGAACGTGGTTTGCGTGGTTTACTTCGTCGTTTTTTACCGGTAGCTGTAGAATTACTTTTTGTAGAACTACCATCAGTATTAGTTGAAGATGTTATGGATGTAACAGAACTAGAACGTTTACGACGTTTTGATTGTTTCGATGATGATGATGTTGCTAATGTTGAATCTTCGGAATGTTCATCATCATTATTTGATCTCGTTCGTTTCTTACTACGAGAATTGGGTGCTTTACGTTGTCTTGATCGGACTGATGAATCTTCTGTTGCAACATCAGATTCTTCTACATTCGTATGTTGGGAAGTTGCTGCATCATCTTGTCGAGCACTCTGTGATTCAATAACACTTTTGTGAGAAGTGTTGGAATTTGAGGAAGAGGATGATTTAACCACCGAATCATTGGTAAATGAAAGGATAATTTTCGGACTTGTAGGAAATTTTTGAAGAGAACGTCTTTGCGTTTTGTCCTCGGAAGATTTAGATTGTTCCACACTAGAACGCGTTTTTGCTTGTAACATAAATTGAGAATCATCCATCAAAATATCTTGCGGTGCTTGACTGACAACATCAATTGTACTCCCTTCCTCGTTTATTACAATAACATCTGAATTCGTTTCATATTGAGTAGAAGGTATTGCGCTATCCTTTATATCTTGTGACCGAGTTTCCATAACAGAGATAGTTGAATCATTATTTTCTTGATTTCGTGAAGCTGTTGAAATGATAGGAATTGATTGTCTCTTTTCATTTTCACCTCCTCTTACATCTTTATTACTACTATTTGTCTCCAGTGAATTCGAAGACTGTGGTATTATAATTGGAGTCGGTCCTATTTGTTTTCCAGGAATATCAATAATTGTTCCTTTCGACTTACCTAATTTAATACAATATATGTAAACAAATTGAAAATCGAAACGGCTTTGAGAAATTATCATATTACCTGCTTTTGAACGGATTAATGACTTTGACTTTCTGAACATTTGAATTCAAATAGTTTTCGATATATAAATTGATCGGCGAATTATTTAAAAATTTAGGAAAATCTTATACGTAAGTCTTGTATCACCTTACATACTAAAATTGCGCAGTAATGTGGCGCAATAATGTCATCCATTAATGAATTTATTTTTTTTAATATTAATTTCAATTTAGTATAAAAGCCCACAATTTCGATTTAATCTCCTCATAAGAAATATGTCGCACATCTGGGTATCGTATATGTGTTAACTTTACCAAGACTAGCATGAATATAAATAATCATAAAGCAGGCCTTGTCATTTTTCAAAACCACGAATTTCTTACATTTTTTTAGCAATGTTCTTGATTGTATTTTGTCGTTTCAACGATATAAGCCTTATGAGTATTACCAAATGCCTCATCCAGGTAGTTTTCTATCTGATTTTTACCACTATTATCCCGTTTTAAGGAGAGATCAATCTTTGCATTGCCCGTGTCATGTGTAACGAAGTCACTTATGGATACTTGAAAGAAAATATATCCAAGTATGAAATCAAACCGTGGATATCCAGCATAGCAACGTACTAAAACATCCTTATCATATCTTTGAGGTAATTTTTTGGAGTAACTCAAATCTTTTGTCAAACAGCAAGCACGGGACAAACTCAAGAAAGGATTATGCGAATTGCACTAAGGTATGTTTGGTATTACGAAGGCCCATATGTAGTTATCTTCAAGAATTGGGTCTTATTGAGTAAACTTAAAACATTAAATGCATTTGTGCTTCACTAATCAAGCAAAAATCACATCCTACTATGATATTATACTTTATTTACACGCAAATACATGTTAATCATGCGATTACGAGACAATCAACATGTATTTGATTAAGAATGCATAACTAATTATACATGATTCGGAAGAAGCTAGTTTATTTCGCGATTCTCACTTTTTTTGTAGCTAGAGGCTTGTTAACATCAACATTAAAATAAATTTCGCTTAAGGACACCCCCATCTCACGAGCACATCTGTCTCACAAGGAAACACCCTGCATCAAAAGCATAATCTCTAATGAAATTTTATACACGAAAATCACTCTGAATTAGCTAAATATTGGACTAATATACAAACGAGGATGCACCTTGCCCACTAAGCACACAGCTTGCCTACAAGCACACAGCCTTCGGTCCTCAGACTGTTTCTTTTTTCCTACATAAAATAAAACTGTATTACCTTTAATTAAGCCTCCAAATGTGTAAGACGTAGTTGTGCGGGATGGTCTTTTGTAAATAATTCTTGCAAAACTTTGATTCCGTTTTAAATGAATAATGCACCCGATCTTTTGCAAAATCATGTAAATAATTTGAAAATTCGGCCAATTAACATATGGTCGATTCCAAATTACTATTAAAATGTGAGTGAAGTGATAAGAAAGATGTATTGTTTTAATAAATAATATATTCGCAAATCTTTTACCATAATAACGAAGACGCTAAGAGGCAATCTCGGGCAAATAAGTCTCATTTGAGATTCTTTCGGAGGTTATAGTTGATATATTAATACATGGACCACGAATCTTTTCGTTAGTTTCTGCAGTTTGCACATTATTATTTTCCTGGGAAAGAAGAAACTCCAGGTCGAGATATTATGCAATTAAGGTGGGTTTACTTTCGGTTGAGGCTGTGCATTTGCGAGGAAGCAACAATTTTTTCATTCAGGATTTTAAAAATCGTGTTAGCATCATGAAAGTATAATGCTTCATTTATCATGCCATTATCATATAGTAACCTACAATCCGTACCTCCATATAGTCACCCTTTATATAAGACTGTATATATTTTTTCTTGGAAAATCAATAAAGAAAAGGCGCAATTAGCGCCATTAATCAGTTATATGCAATTAAAAGCGAAAAAAGATCAAACATTGTTTACGTTATCAACACGGGCTTCTATCGTATTTCTTTTTCGGCATTTTGATTTTGCTACGTGCCAATAAAGGTTTAAACTTATTTTACTTTTTTATTAAGTGAAAATCACTCAATCTGGCACAGTAGTCGCAGTACTGACTGACGTCACTGATTAGTAATGCATGATGTATTGAGTAAGGGCAGTGACATTTATTACCTAATAAAATTTTATTATTAGCATCTACCCCCCACTCCCAGGTAAGATATTCTGATTACGTGTATATAAATCATTTGCCTTTTATAGAATCATACATCAGTTGAAAGAAATAAATTAAAAAATTTTATTATTGAATGGCTTAAATATTTCAGTGAGAAAATTTAAAATATGTTTTAAAATAAAATTGTATTATAAATAAATGTTTTAAAATCTAAAATCGTATTCTAAAAATCAAAGTGTTTCATAATTGTGTTAGTATTCTATCGGTTATACACTGATAATTATGCGAGATGTGTCCCATGATGATCATATTGTCGCAGAAAGAAAATTTTTCACATCTACAAAAACTAGTTTTAGATCTTCATAATGCGTTCGATTTTTTTAACACTTTCACTGCAAAACCTTTTTCAAAAAAGCATCAATATTGTATTAGAGTAAAATGAATCGTCAAACCTTTTTTTTAGCCTTAAGTTTAATAAGAAACTAATATATAAGTCACCAGCAAATAAGTATCAGGCTTTCACAAATGCTTATGTATATAGCATTATAATTAAGACAGGAAGTGATACTTTTAACCATGTTGAAGTTTGTCACAAATCTGCACAAGAATGGAACAAGATCAAATTTAAGAATGAAACAGAAATTGATGATATTATTAGAAATTACCTTGATACGCCATTTGATCTATATAATATACAAACTTTGAGACCAAGACGTCCTGTATCTAAAAAAATCACATCCTAGCTTCTCTTATTATTCATTCAGTGAATCCTATATCAGAAATTCCTGTTAATGCATCAGTTCAAAAAAAGGCAACAAACGAAATAGCAACAGCTAAGAAAAACCTTACTAAATTTGAACAAATCTATAATATTATGACTGATCCTCAATTTTGGCATAAAACATATATAAAGATAGAGGATCTTTGAGCTAAAATCAAATCTAATAAAGAGAGAATTACTAAGTTACAAAAGAATGCAAATTATGCTTGAAAATGTAAAGAAAAAAAAGAAAAATACTTATTGAAAATCAGAAAATGATACAGTATAACAGACCCGGTTGTCCTTCACTTCTTTTCAAGCATCTGAGTTTATATGACTATATCTATAATTCAATCGAGTTTAGGACAGCATATGAAAAAAGAAGAAAAGAAGTAGTTAAAGTCTGAATAATCAAAAATTTGCGTAAGAATCTTGAAGAAAACTATAATGTTTACATGGTGAGAACAACACTAAACAATTACCTATTACCTTGACAAGCCAATTCAATTGTTGCAAAAGCATATCATTATCCAGCATAGGTTGCAATAGCTAGAGTTTTATGCATAAAAATACAAGATTATCCTGACAGACACTATTGCCTTGCATTTGTTAAATATGCAAAAAATTTGCTTTACTATTTGCTAATACGAGTATTATTATTTCTCAAGATGATAAAGTGAAGATTGGTCTAGGTATACCTGCAGTAGAACAGACATTTCAAATGTTATAATCAGTAAATAAACCTATGAGTGTAACAGATCATGATTTTTCTGCAGGATTTAGACAAAAACTAATTCTATCAGATTATCTTATGATAAAACTAAATGAAAAAAATGATGATTTATGAATGAGACAGCTTGCTATCTTTGTACATTATCAGTAGTCCTTTGGTACATCCTCATTTACATATATGAAAGATCTAGAATGCCTCACCTAAAATTCCCAATATGATGATGTACTGAAGTTTAATGGAGAAATCTGACTGATCTAGGTGTTATTAGTCAATGGAAGACCGGATGAAAACCTAAGGCATCTAAAAAACATAAAAGTTTATTATCAGCTCTTTAAAAAATTCAACCTGGATTACCTGAGCATACGAATGCATACCTCAGGACAATCCAAGTATAATCCTGTAGAAAAGGAATGATGATGCTATCTGGCAAGTTGGCAGGTGTTACACTGCCAATAAATCACTTTAAAATGCACTTAAAAATGCAAGGTAAAGTGATAAATCTGGAATTGGTTCTTCAAAATTTCAAATATGCTAGAGAGACGCTTTGTGACATTTGAAATCATAATTTGATCTTTAGAAAATATGTAAATATCAAGTATATCGAAGAGTCCAAAAATCTATTCAAAAATCTGCAATTTGAGAGTATGGATAAAGAGAAAGCGGAAGAATTGAAAAAATAAGAAAAACAAAAGAAACAAGAGAAGAAAGAAATAACTGAATTAACTGAATGTTTTGTTTGTATCATGGTCATGGATTGAAAACTATTGTAATTTGTGCTAGTATTCTCTTAACATCAAACGATACACAAATATAAGCTGTTATAGATCATCTTGTGCAAAAGAAGCTATAGAATTCCTTCAAGTAAATGATGGTTTTTTGCCTCCTATCACAAAAGCAAAGGATGAACATTATATGAATCCAGTACATCTTCTCGAGTATTATGATCGTTTAAAGTTTCTAAATACGATTTACACTAACTATCGCTTAACAGAACAACTTATTCACGTCTTTGCTGCTCTGAATGTAATAAATACTTTCCAACTCTCACCTTTTTGACAAATTATAAGTGAACAAAGCATTCTCATAAACGATCTAAAGGAAAATCTAAAAGTCAAATTAAGTAAAATTCTTTGACTATAGACGATTTTTCACTTCTTTCTTTACAACAAAGAGAGAAAATTTTTTTATTAAACGAAAGATCTTTAAGAGAATATATTTCAGATAATGAATAAATGTCTTTTATATGTATGCATATATAAATTCTAAATATATGCATTCTAAATTTTTGTATTCTAAATGTATACATTCTAAATGTATGTGTTTTAAATGTATGCATTTTAAATGTAATGCGTTCTAAATGTATAGATTATCTAAGTGACGCATATTAATAAATTTGCTAAGTCACAGTTATCAATAATCACGTGACCAATTTATTATGTAATGAATAACTATATTACGTGATAGATTTTAATATGTGTAACTTAAGAATTTCATTTACCCCACCCCTAAAAAATTACCTAATAAATGTCATTGCCCTAATTGGTCAATTTTTTTCACGTAATTTATCAGGAAAATTTTTTTTGACGTATTTATTATCTTCGTAAAATATGACTAATAGAATATCGAAAAAACAACCTTATTTCTTAATTATTCAGATAAGTATTTCTCACTGCTTTAAAAAACTTATTTTAATTTCATTGCTAATGCTAGTCTTTTTAAGAATATTGAAATAAGTCTTCTGGAGCATGAGGAATTAACGATTGGAATATATTTTTCATTAAAAAGTATCTAAAGTGATCTAGTATAAATCTTACAATTCGCTTAGAGCTGAACTAAAAATTCTTCTTGCAATACTTCTGAAAAATGAATTTTTATACTTGTGCGCAAGTAATCTTAGACAACATTTTAAAGTTAAATTACTACTATTCTAACATATTTCCTCTTCACATATACGCCACTACACACACACTCCTCTATAACCACTATCTAAGTGACTTTGTCATAGAAAGAAGCAGTTCGCTTACCTAAAGTAAAACGAGCTATTCAAATAAAATCACAGCCCTGTGACCGTTGACTGAGTGACTTCATCATACAAAATAAGTAGTTAGTTTGCTCAAAATGAGTAATGTGTCACTGGCATATATGATTTGTAACATTTTGCCTATAATAATATTATAGCGACTAGATATATTAATTAAAATTTTATTTTTAATACTAGGGAGCAGATAAATTTCAAACAAACATTGATTTGTGAAATGATCATATGAATAAATTAGCGAAATCAGAAATTAACAATAAAGTGGATATGGTAAGCATGGTTATGATATTTTTTTGTATTTACATATTGTCTTATTATAATTCAACTATCTAGTATAATCTAAAAAATATGGCAATTAGTATGGGCATATTGGCTGGTATTCAGCATTTTGAAACATATAATTCTCAATTATTAATTTTCTGACAATATGCTGATATGAAGTTTAATTCACTAAAATAAGAATGAAAAAAAAAGCAGTTAAAAATAACAAGAAAGCCTCTTCTTGTGATTGTATATCTCCTTTACGTGACATTTTTTTTAATGATTATAGCGAAAGTAAGGTGAATGATAGCAAAATAGTTGAATGAAAATTTGACAGTACAATTCTAACATAACTTGAAAAAGGAATGCTATATTATAAAGATTTGATCTTAGAAGAAAATGAGGATAAAAGATTTAAAGATTCATCAAAGTATATGCTTTATAAATATTGTTTGCTTTTTTTCATATAATTAAATTATAATCAATCTTTTAAAAAAAATAAAAAGGTTGATATGGTGGAGAATTATAAATGGATCAGATTTTGATATAACAAGAGAATATCTTTCAGAAGAGGATTTTTTAGAATTACAAGAGGTTTTAGCTAATACACTTGAATTAGGAACTACAAAAAATGATTAGACAATATTGAAACTACAAGCAGAAAAATGTTTATAAGATTTATCAAAGGTAAATGGTTATAATTTTATGAAAGCTGTTATATACCTTATTTGTATTAATTGCATATTCTAAACTCAGCTAAATAGCAATCAGATTAAAATAATTGGTGAAAAAGTTCATCTTGAAGGAACACGTGATGCATTAGAAGAACTAAAAAATTTTCTAAAAACAAAAAGTTCTCAAGAATTTAATCTTGACTTGTTTGACAATTTGAATGACCAAACAATTGATGATATAGAAATAGCTAAAATTGATTACTTAGATAAAGACGTAGCTTATATTTTTGATTTGATAAGATTTACATAAGTACTATACATCTATGCCAATAGATTTCATTATTAGAGTTTCGGACGAGTTGAGTTAACTCATGAGTCAGATAAGCTGAGTCAAGTTTAAATCAAGTCGAGTTTATATTTTTTTGACTTGATGATTTGCGAGTCAAGTCAAATCAAATTCGAGTCAAGTTAAATATTTAACTCGACTCGATTTAAACTCGACTTAAACTCGACTTAACTCAAGTTGACTTAAAATAGTATTATTAATAAATTAATATTTTAAAATTATAAAAATTATACATTATAATAATTGAAATACTTTATAATAGTTGAAATATATTATAATAATTAATAATTGAAATTTTTTTATTAATTTAAATTATAAATTTTAAATTTCATTAGAAATGTGTAGAGTTAATTATTTTTTTATTGATAAGATAATTATCATTAAATTAGTATAGTTAAACCTTTTATTTTAATAATTATTTATTGATAAAATATATAAAAAAAATAAAAAATCTAATTTTTTCATAATATCTGCTTTTTTTTCTATTACTTTAGCAGTTTTTTAATTAAATTAATTGTATTAGTATATCAAATACTATGTTTACTTAAATTAAGTTTAGCTATACTATATATAATTTATATTAATTAATACTATATTGAATTTGATGTTATTTTAATAGCAACACCATATTCAGGATAGATAAAATATTCTTTTTAACTACACTAATTTCATAAACAAATCCTATTACAAATTCTGATCTATTCTTATTTTAACATCCTACAGCTTTATAATTTTCTGCATAAAATACTGCACTTATTTTCTATTCATTATTTAAATTTACTTTTTGCTTAAATGTTTCATATAATAATACTAATTATAATACATGATTTTCTGCATTTTTATATAACCATTTTTCAAAACTATCTCTATCTTTATTATATATTCTTTGTATGTTTGAATTAAGATTTTTATTTTATATACATATGAATTAGTAGTTGATAAATTTAAAAAATTTACATGACCAATTAATTTTTTTGAATCAACATGTATTTTATCTACAATTAATTTTAGAATATGCATCTACAGTAAGTTTTATTTTAAGCCTAAAATGATTTACAACATTTTTTTTATAATATTATCCCTTCAAGCGTTTTGCAGGCAAATTTGCCTGCAATTTTATTTAATAATTAAAATTATTTATAATAATT